ATTATAATTTCTAAAATGATTTTTGAGTCTGTAGTTTTTTTAGATACCCTTTAATGAATTTGGTTTTTCAGAGTAGTCCAAATTTCCTTTCTAATAAGTGGCACTCATGTTTTAAGAGGGTAACTTTTTTTTTTTTTTTGTAAATATTAATATTTATAGGTATGACTTAATCTTTTGGGGCTTCTGTCATTATCTTGTTTTACCATTCTCAAGTTCCTGTGTAATCTCTACATTGCTCTTGTGGCTGTAACTGTGGGCCTTATTTTTTGTTTTAGAGTTATAAGTAGTGTGTCTTCGAAGTGAGATGTCATCTCTTTCTAGGTTACCTACCCTCTTAGGTCTGTTTCAGCTGTGTGATTGGCTTATCAGTCCTCTGACTCCAAGATGACTTTATTCTTATTTGTTGAAGGTTCGTTCATACTGTCAATGCTTCATTAAAACTGAAATTCAGAATAATCCTTAGAAAGGAAAAGGAACGTGAATGAAAGCCAAAAAGAGGTAGATGAGCAAACCAATCAGCAGAGTGTTTTATATTTACACTTGATCAACCAAGTGTTAGAAGTAATCTACCATAGCATGTTGGGTTAGAGCAAGGACTCCAGAGGTGAACTGCCTGCATTCTGATCCTGGCTCTGCCTCTGTTGTTGTTGTTAGGTGCCGTCAAGTTGGTTCCAACTCAAAGTGACTCTGCAGCCGAATGAAACACTGCCCAGTCCTGCACCATCCTCACAGTTGTTGCCATGTTTGAGCCCATTGCTGCAGCCACTGCCAACCTATCTCATTGAGGATATTCCTCTTTTTCACCAAGCCTCAACCAAGTATGATGGCCTCTTCCAGGGACAAGTCCCTCCTGATGACATGTCCCAAACATGTGAGATGAAGTCTCACCATCCTCGCCTTTAAGGAGCATTCTGGCTGTACTACTTCTAAGAATAGATATTTTCATTTTTTAACAGTCCATGATATCTTCAATATTTTTTGCCAGTACTCTAATTCAGGGGCATCAGTTCTTCGGTCTTCCTTATTCATTGTCCAGCTTTTGCTTGCATATGAAGCAACTGAAAAGACCATGGCTTGGGTCAGACACCCCTTAATCTCAAAGTGACGTTTGCTCCTTAACACTTTAAAGAGGTCTTTCACAGCAGCTTTGCCCAGTGCATTTGATTCTTCACTGCTGCTTGGATGCAAAGCAGCTTCTATTGCCTTGAGCAAATTTCCTAACTTTTCGATAAGTCAATTTCTGCTTGGTTAAATAGCGCTAATACATGTACTACCTAAGAGGATTATTATTATGATTAAAAGAATATTTATGAGGAGCTTCAAATATATTTGATACAAAATAATTTTAAAATAAAAACACAAAAAGTAATGAAAACATATCCTCCCTGAAATAATCCATTCTTTCCCTTTTAAACAGAATAAATTCATTACATATGTTTTTATGATGATAGATTTTATGAATAATATGCAAAAAATCTAAGTGCACAGTGACTACTTCTAGGGTTCTAAGAATAGTCAGTTAAAAGTTGTTCAACATCAAGTGAGTTTTTGTAGGATCCCTCTCCCAGTCTTCAAATCTAAGTGTTCCACAGTAGAATAGAAAGTTAGTGCCTCTGGGAGAAAGAAGGGCTGCTTATGCACAGTTCAGGGGGCAGGAGTGCATGGAGGGATGGACACAGGGAAGAGGTAACTATTGGGAGAAAGTAGGAGGGGAGATGTTGCATTGTGGTAAGTTGCGGTCAATGTCCTGAGACAAAGTGTATGTGAACTGCTGTATGGAAAGTGTATTTGCTCTGTAAATTTTCACCCAAATCACAATAAAAAAAAAAAAAAAGTTAGTGCCTCAATGAAGCATTGCTGGAATTATTTAACATAGGTGTTTCTTTGAAGACACATTGAATACAACTGGCTTGCTGTCAGTTAAACACTATTTCCTTCTTATCATTAATAATAATAAAGCTAGCTCTGGTAGCATAGTGGCTAAGGCACTTGACTGCTAACCAGAAGGCTGGCGGTTCAAACCCACCAGCCACTCCTCAGAAGGAAGATGGGGCAATCTACTTCCGTAGTGATACTGCCTCGGGAACCCAAGGGAGGGGTAGCTATGAGTCGGGTCCGACTTGACAGCACATAACAACAACAACAGCAACAGCTCTTTCTAGATCTCAAAGAGTAAAGGAAAGAACTTTAGAATATTATGGCATATTAAACTTACTATATTGTAATCTGTTTGATTTTCCACCTTTTATTATCAGTTCATGAAGTTTAGTTAAAAAGTTAGCTTATAGATGATGCATCATTAAAGGTATCTCATGAAATAACAGAAGTAAGGCTCTTTAGAAGGATGGGAAGTGGTAAAACAGTATCACTATGTCATTACTCACATTTGCTGATGTGCAAATCCCTGTTATTAGAAAAAGGCAGAAGAATTATTTCAGAAATGATGATGGCTGGACCCACCCAGAGAGTCTCACTACTATTTTTATTTAGTTCTTGTGAAATTAAAAACCTTTGAAATTGTGGAATTCAGTCACTTGTATCAGGAAGTAAAACATATTAATCCTAGTTTGATGGATCCCAGTTTAATTATTGAATTACTAGTTCCATAAGAATACCAGAGAGATCCTGCCTTAGTTCTCTGGTGCTGCCATGTAGCAGTGCTGCAAGTGGATGGCTTTAACCAACGGGAATTCATTTTCTCACAGTTTAGGAGGCGAGCAGTCCAAATTCAGTTAGCTGGCTATAGGAGAAGGCATTCTTTGTTGGTTGGCTCTGAGGGAAGGTCCTTGTTTCTTCAGCTTCTATTCTTTGATCCGTGGTGATTTTCTTGTG